TCTCTCTTTTGTCCTTGATTTTTGGCCTCCACGACAGAAAAGAGTACCTATATAGGAATATTTTCGAGAGATGTGGGGAAAGTATGGGGAAGACAAGGTAATGTAGTATGTATATATTTATACAGGAAACTCCGGGGAGGGGAAAGGAGAATCAAAGGTGGAGCTGGGGGCGATCAATGGAAGAGATCGATAGATTGAAGCCTATATATATGGGTCGATGGAAGTGGATGTTACAACTGTATAACTACAAGTGTATATCCTATCAAACGCCACCCGAATCCGGGGTAAATCATTTTACATTGAAAACTCAGGCACCGCAGGCACCAATCAGTCGGTTCGGTGAGTCTCGGGAAGAGCCGTCGGGACTTTTCGGTGTCAACTGTAACCCTATGACGCTGTGGCTAACATGGCGAGATTCAGAACCATCGGCATCTATGCATGTTTGACCCGTGGGTACGAGTAGACATAAGTCCATACGGCGCAGTATCCTCGCAATTCAACAAACACAGACGGAGCACTGTCGTCCACCACCAATCATACCAACATCGTGGATCCACAGGTCGAGCGCCACTTTCTGCATGCGACGCACGGCCTGCAACCTGTCCTGAGCGTCCCAGGTGAGGAGCTTCAGAAGCGACAACGAATTAGAATCATCATCCATTATCCATGTACGAGTACTTTAAGTCTATACAACACTTCGCTATGGCATATAGCCGACAATCAAATCAATAACAGACTTTGCGCTGTTGCCGCCAGCAGCACCACATCATCACCATCATCACCCTCCTCCTCCTCATCTAAAGGGAATGATCGCTGGCTGTCAAATCCCTCAGATCGTCGTAGCTCTTACCTCGCCGGCTCCGGCATGCATTAGTTATCCTTCCTCCCACCTCCCCCACCCGCCCTTTCTCCAGGCCTTCATTCCTCTCCGCTCATGCAAGTCGTGACGTCGTACGCGGCCAATTTTCATTATTTCCGTTTCCGTTTTCCTCGTAGTACTCAGTTCGTCTCATCCTCATCTTCCCTAGCGGCAGCTGCGGGCGCCTCCCGGACGACGGCCACGTAGATGGCGCTTCCTAAGATCAAACCAGATCCCATCCAACTCATGAGAGACAGAGTACTTCCCCAGACAACGCGGTCATAAAACAACGCAAAGACCATCTGCATATAGATCATAGACGTCGCCCGCGATCCGGACGAGCTGCGCGACGCCTCCTTCGGCTCCCCATTCCCATCGCTTCCATATTGACGATGCTGTTCCGACGTGGACGATTTCCTCGGCGGAGGCACATACGACAGACCAGCCGTCAAGAGGAACTGCAGCAGGAACCCACATACACCCAGACCCAAGAGTAAAGTCCATTCCAACGGGGTGCCCGGCAGCTCCAGCGCGATGGAAGGCAACACCAGGATGGCCACGGTCGACACAACAGTCGTGAAGAAGGAAAAATATGTGACAGACACCAGCGGATGACAGCGCTGACCGATCATTCGGATGGTCGAGTACGCGCAAGACGCCCCCATGACTCCCATGAGTGCCATGGCGGTCGCTAGAATACGGTGGTACTCATCCTCGGAATCAGGCTGCTCCTCGCTGCCGAGCTCTCGGGAGTCGGGCGGATTTGTTTTCGAAAAGAGTGAGAAAGGCCGTGCGATCAGAACCACACCAACTAGCGACACCACGCCAGCGAGCTGTTGCTTGCGTGTGAAGGTCTCATTGGGAATGAACAGAGAGCAGGCGTAGCAGGTAAGGATAGGTGCTAGGAAAGTTAACACTGTGGCTTCCGACAGTGGTAGGTATTGAACGGAGTAGTAAAGCCCATAAACGCCAACAAAGCCACCGGCTGCACGAAGCAGTAGAAGGTGAAGTACAGGGCGGGTCCCAAACGGGTGAGGGACTTTGGTGTACCACATGTACAGATAACTGACCAGAACCGTGATGGACATGCGGGCGAACAGGATCTGGTACAGTTTAGTCCGGGGAGATATTTAGAAGCAGCTAGATGATCATACCTGAAACGGATGAAACCCTTCCCCATTCCTCCCCTTTCTCTCCAATATTTGGGTCATGACATTCATGGAAGCCCCGAAGAACTGGGCCAACATGACCAGGATCATTCCCCTACCCTGAAGCCAGAGTTCCTGCGCCGAATCCCACGTCGTTCCCCACCATGATGATGACGATGGTGACGATGGCATGGGCGAACTCGATCCCAGTAAGGGTCTCCGTTCATCCTCATCTTCATGGGTGGTGTGGCGCTTTCTGCCCCAACCAAATACCGCGGAAAACACGCTGCGAGGGTCGGATCTGACATCCTCGCCAGGATGCTGGTTCTCATCCTGACTGGACGCCGATGGAGGCATCATTAGATCGATGTGGACTGAAATGTAACTCCTTTTTTGTTTCTCTCCCAGGACTTAAGGACTGAAGAAACGGAGAAATCAAAGGAGATAGGTATTAAGTAGACAGTGTTAGGCAAAGAAATCTGGGGTTGATCATAAGGAAGATTCAGCTCAAGGACTAATGGATCTCCTCCGATACGTAGGTAATATTGATTTAATTACTTATATTTGAAGGGAATAATAATATAAATACAAGTCAGGTGAAAGATCTCCAAAGCCGAGCGAAAAAAGAGAAAAGAAAAGAAAAAGAGAACCACGAACTTTTCCTCCAATGCGCGGTGACTTTGGAGCGCTATCGGCGTCAAATGATGGTTGACGGAGGGACTGAAATTGCGGGTGGATCGGCGGCTTGACCCACTTTTCTACATCTACAAGAACTCTTACAATTTATCCAGTTCAGCTGGAGCATAATTCTTGATCCAACCCAGATATACCCAGTTCTTGATCCCATCCAACAAAATCGCTCGAGTCTCGTGAGAATTAGGGGGAAAAGAGGAAACAAAAAGAGAAAAAGAAAAAAAGGAAAGCCGAAGCAGACGCTATAATAACAACAGTACCTGTCAGGTCTTAACGAATATTGGTATAATAAGTACATGACAAGAGAGTTAGCACTCGGGACTAACTCGGATCTATACAAATGTAAATGTGTCACCTCCCTTCTCCCGCAGCATATTCCCAACTCGTTTGGTTCCAACGATCCTCTCCAGTTTCAGGGCATCCCACTTGGAAAACAGTGCGCGGACGCCTCCCTCGGCCGCCTCATCGATCGCCGCCGGATCCAGGCCTAAGAATCCCACAATCTCCCCCCAGAATGTTGGGTTTTCTGGCACTCCATACATGATGACACGTTTGACGCCACGGACCTGGTACCGCCGGAAATGGTGGAATCTTTCTGTGTAGAGCAATACGGAGTGTCGGCCATTCATAAAGTGTGTACGAGCTCGCATGATGTCCCGAGTGTCCGAGTATTCAGAAATCGCGCCGAAGGAGACGTTTGTCGTCTGCGCGGAAGTAGCAAAGTAATTGCGTACACGGACGAAATCTAGGTACGACGGGATAAAGATCAAGGTTCCACCGCTATTGTTCCCCCGACCAGATGTGATATTGCGGACTAAAGAGGAGAGCACGGTCGTGGTGAAGTGCTTGAATCGCGCGTCGGGGTCTTTCGCCGGCGAGAGACTGTCGAATCGGGAGAAGGTCTGCTTCACGGATACTGGGAGTGGGATCTCAGAGATGGCCCCAGCATATACTGGCGTCATTTTAATCTTGCCAGAGACGTTCAGCATATGGGTCGAGAAGACCGAGTTGATCTCTGGGGTAATAAAGGAAGCTAGCATGATCATTTGACGGACATATCGTGCGTTGTTGTCGAGATACCATGTCCGCACGCGGCTGAAATCACAGCCGTGCGCCTCCCTCGGCTGCAGGTTGAGATGTTTGAAGATATAGTCGACGTGATCCCAATTCTGCATAAGAAGGGCATCGGCCTGATCTACTATAACGACTTCAATAGAAGACAAAAAGTCATGGTCACGTTTCTTCGCACTACAGTACGTTAGCATGCGTTCTAGGCTTTTCATGTAGCGCGGACGCCCTCGGAAAACCTACTCAGCCTGGTCCATGATCGTGCGCAGACCAAGTGGGCTGGCAAGGATCATATCTGAAGCGTAAAATTGCGCAAAAAATTTGACAGTCTTTCTCGTGAATTTGAGGCCTAGTCGGAACATGTCATCGTCGTTTCCACCGAATAACTCGCGAAAGTCGTCCGGTTTGCTCTCCCAGGACTTGTCGTCCGTTGCAGAGAAAGTGTCCATGAAACGCTTCTTGTTTTCTTGCTGCTCAGGTTGAAAGAGCTGGGTGATTGACTCTACGACACGCACGCAAGCTTGTTTGGTCGGGAGAAGATACAGCACCTTGGGCCTGGTGAAGCCTTGATCCCGCAGATCGAGGTCGGCATCTTGTTCCTTTGCGACACGAGCGTTGTTCTTGAGCACACGGTCCCGGGTCTTCAATACATGATTAACGGCATGGACTGCCAGAAGGTTTCGTAACTGGGTCGAATTGGATGATTTTCTGGCGCCATACAAGACGTCTTGATAATCAAAGATGTACGGGGCGAGTTGCTGGGCATGGCCGCTGATCTGGGAGATATGCTCCAGAGCAGGCGCCTTCAACTTTTTCTTGAGCTGTGGCGTAATAAGCAACTGACGCTGTCTTCCACATGCCATCTCGTAGGGTAGTTATTGCTTACCTTTAAATTCGCGATACTCCTCAGGGCAGGTAGGCAAGACAAATCATTTCCCGTATCGGGTGCAGTGCGCACCAATCTCACGTCCCGGGGAGCTCTTTTTTCAGAGTTTTCCATTTATTATCCTCTACAGCCTTGATTTGCTTAGCCAGTTCGTCTTCTTTTTTGCCTGAGAAATGTGTTTCGAAGGGATCATTATCTGCTCAATATCAGCAAGTGGATTATCTTCAACCAGGTATACTGAAAAGCTGTACCGTCTTCATTGTCACTGTCGGCTTGATCATCGCCATCTGCCTCATCCAAGTTATCTTCGTCCTCTTCATCAGAAGGTTCCTGCAGCTGCAAGTCGTCATCTTCCAGTAACTCCTCTTCGCTGGCGGCGACAACCGTGTCATTCCGAGCTGCCTCTTCTTTGTCGTTCTTGTGTTCGGTCTTTCTCTTTTTGCGTGCCGGCCCTTTCGAGTCAGCGGTTGTATTGAGTAGCTGAAGCAATTCGTTATATGGACGGGCCGACTTGTCGTCTTCTTCGTCCTCGTCGCTGCCTGACGATGCATCGTCCATGAGACCATCATCTTCATCCATTTCATCTCCAAGGTTGTCTTCGAACTGACCCTCCTCTCCGCTTGAGGATTCTTCTGACCTGAGTGGGCTGGTTAGCTTGAGTAAGTGAACCCAGCGGGAGAAGCTCACTCTATCTCGTCTACTCGGGATGTTGTGAAGCCATTTTTCCTCTTGACAGGAGCTCTGGCACGAGTTCCACGGCCCTTGGGACCTCTATTCCGAGGGGGAGCCATTTGCGAAAGAGAATATGCCCCTAAAGGATTGGTATTGCAGCTCTGAAAGCACCAGACTTTTTTTGTCTTTTTTTTCCGAATTATTTTTTTCCCTCTCTTTGGGTCGGGGATGCTTATCTTATCTTAGCGCGAAATTCCCGCTGCGCACACACAATTTGAGCCTCGCAGAACCTCCGTCGGCGCAGAGTCTAGCGGGCGGAAGAATTGATAAAAAAAAAGAGAGCTACTCTCCACCACGCCGAGGAAGATACCAAGTGAAAGAGTCGAGAGCTAGAGAGAACGGCCATTCGCGCTTCTAACACTTCTTACCCATCATGGCTGAAACTGATTCTTTCCTTCACCTTGCTCGCCCTCTGGGCCCGATGGCAGTGGGGTCTGCACCGACAACCGCCCCTCTGAATGTTGTCATTCATCCTCAGGTATGTTTGCTGTATCGGAATGATGAGTGAAGGATGGAAGCCCTGATGCCCCCATGACAGGCTCTCTTCTCGATCCTTGATCATTCCCTCCGTCGCAATGCCGACCAGGAGCGTGTCATCGGAACCCTGCTAGGAACCAGGTCAGAGGATGGAACTGAGGTGGAGATTCGCACTACTTTTGCTGTTGGACACACCGAAACGACGGACCAGGTTGAGGTCGACATGGAATACCAGAAGCAAATGCTTGCGTTGCATCTCAAGGCAAACCCAAAGGAAGTGCTGGTCGGTTGGTACGCCACTTCGTCGGAGCTGAACACCTTCTCCGCTTTGATCCAGAACTTCTACAGCGGCCAAGGTGATGGAACCTTCCCTCACCCTGCTGTCCACTTGACTGTCTCTACCGAACCTGGCAAGGACGTTGAAACCCGCGCCTACATTTCCGCTCCTGTTGGTGTGACGGCAGAGAGAGCCGCCGACAGCGCTGCCTTTATCCCCGTCCCCTACGAGATTCGCTACGGCGAGACCGAAAAGAGCGGTCTGGAGTCTATTGCTGCCGCTCGCGATGCTGAGAGCCGTGCCGCGAACATCTTCACCGATATTGAGGCTCTTGAGCGTGCGGTCGAGGAAGTTCTCGGTATGATCGACCGCGTTTCCAAGTACGTCGAATCTGTCATCGATGAGGAGGCTCCTGCATCGACAGCACTGGGCCAGTTCCTTCTCAACGCTCTCGCTTTGGCGCCCAAGGTTGAGCCTGCCGATATCGAGCGGGATTTGTATGTTTCCCCCACCCCTTACGACTCTCATTCGTTATTATACTGGTTCGCATCTTCCGTCCTAATGCTAACCATTTCTACAGCAACAACCACATCCAGGACGTTCTGGTTGTGTCTTACCTGGCCAACACCATCCGTACACAGATGGAACTGTCCACCCGCCTAGCTACCGCTCAGCTCACCCTTGGCGGCGAGTCCGGCAGTGCAGAGTCCGGCCAGCGCGGAGGTCAGAGGGGCGGCAAGGGCGGCCGCGGAGGACAGCAGAGGAATCAAGACCGGAGTGGAGAGGAGGCTCGCGCGTAAAGAGGGAACGTAAAACCAAGGCTATCCATGAAGACACATTTTCTTTTCTCTCTACATCTCTTGTCCCATCCGTTTTTTACCTCTCGCATCTACTATCCCGCTACTCTGTTTATCCCTTTTTTCCTTGATATGTGTCTAGGGTTATCTTTTCTTGTGGAAAAAGCTTGTTCTCAGTTCTGCTCCCATCTTTTTCTCTCTGTTATGCCATTTATGACATTACATCCGCGATTGTTGGGGCAGTGCGAAAACGAATCGACGAACGAAAGCAAAAGAAAAAAATGAACCAGAAAGAGCATGGCGTATGGGAGTCAATCTGGCTTTGTTCAGAGCGATGGAAAAAATGGAGCTGTGCAAAATGGGAAGAGCAAGGGTTTGAGACCCTTTTATGACGGGAGCAGATCGGCCTTATTTGCTCCGATGATATAGTGTAGACTTGATGATTACGAAGCCGGCTTTTCTTACCGGCATGTCAATCATGATGAATGGACATATGTACTGAACCAACGAGCATCTGAGCTTTGTCTGTAGACACCGGGCGAAAAGATAAATGTCGTCATTTTGTAGCGCCTGGCTTGCTGGAAGGATTGCTTGATATCTAATGTCTTGAGCTCTCAACCTGAAAGCTAGAAAAAGGTTTCCCCTATAAACGCCCTTCTAATAACAGAAAATGGTATCCCCCATGTTTGATGAATGTTGGTGTCCTAACCCAGAACGCCCGAGACAAATGTTAAAGAGCAAAACGACATCGAAAGTAGCGAAGCGGTGCCAACGACTGGCTCAACCAGTCTTTCTCTTCTTCGAAACCGTCGTGTCTTCCGTAGCATCCGAGTCCCTTCTAGCATTTCTCTTTCCCTTTCCCTTGCTCTTCTTGCCATCGGCACCGTCGCCCAAATCTTCGAGGTCCTTCTTGCTAGCATCCTTCAAGTTTCCAACCTGGTCATCATTCTGATCGAATGCCTTCCGAGCTTCTTTCAACTCACGCTCCATGCGCAATAGCTCCTGGACACGACCAAGCTTGTTGGGATCACGGCGCAATGCAAATCGGAAGTCGTCCACTTTGATCTTCTGACGGCGCGAATAGGCGGCATATTGAGCTGCGCCGTGGCACATCTCAAGGACAAAATCGGTAACAATCTCATCGAGCACACGAACTGTTTCTGGAAGAGGCTCTGAAGGGAAAGACGGATGCGGGCTTGGATCACCATATGCGAGAAGGAGGAGACGCACTATCGAATGGAAACATGTGATGTGAGTAACAGAAGTTGCGATAGAGTCATCTGTTTATTGGGGGGACAGGGGAAATAAAACGAAGGAATGAAAGAGAGAGGCAAAACTTACACTCAGCAGCAAAGTTCATCTGACCCTTGTGCCTAGCAGCACGGGCTCTTGGTTCAGCCATGGTGGTAATAGAGCGCTTCTTGCTCTTCTTACTAGAGTCGGCTTCTGTAGAATCCGCGTTCTTGGCGGTGTCAGGTTTGAATGCTGGGCGATAGCCGGCACGGATTAGAGTAGTCTCTTGAGGGTTGAACGGCCAGGGAGGGGCAAGCTAGCTCGCCACATGGCCAGAATTTGGCTGTCGAGGTGGACCGGATGGAGCTGGAGAGGTTCGCTGAACTGGACGGAGAGGAGGCGGCAGAAGCCTTGGAGCTCTATCGGTAGGCGGTTTAACATTGGTATGGGGGCCAGGGCGGTGAGGGGCGTAGGCGGACATGAGAGGCAGAATTTCTGATTCACTGGACGGAACGTGTAGACAGATAGTATGATACTATCTGGGTCTCTATCAGCTAGTATTTTTCTCTTGATCTTGCACAGAAACTTGAGCCTGTTAAGTCATTGGTTAAGCTCAAGGAGGGAAACAGACCAATCCTAGGCAGCTCAAACGAGATGGTGAGTGAATGCTCTGTGAAAGGAAGCCTGCCTATCTAGACAGGTTCGACTTCAATAGGATGGCCACCAACTAAAAATAATCCTTTCTGTAGTCTGCCTTGTTCAACTTTCAATCGCTTCTGCTGGTGATCTTACTTGTCATCTGCACAAGCACCTATGCCCACTCGATTATGCCAGGAATCATGGATCGAAATCAACATGGGTATGTTCTATCTCTGGTCTTCCCCATGATGTTAACTAAGAGACGGGACTAACACCCTCACCTGAAGCTTCTTCGGGGTATTCTGGAAGTGTGCTCGAATCGGTGAACGGCTCAGCCCGTATGTCAGTATCTGCTGCATCTTGATGGCTGTGAGTGCTGGACTACATCATATGAACCCACTGAAGTAGAGGTAATAGTGAGGCTAATATACATGCGCTAGGTTTCTATCTTCTTTGGGGGTTGAATGCCTCCTCGTTGCCCCTGTTTCTCTTTAAGCAATTCTTCCACTTTTGTCTTTTCATGAATGAAGATCCTACCAGCAATCGGCGTTAAAGAACTTCTTCTTGGTGGTTTGGGCATTAAAATTATATTGCAGGGAGTCCGCATCGTTATTTACATGTGTATTGTACATAGTGATATTTTACATCAAGAATATCCCCACATATATCGATCTCTCGTTCTATAAATGACATTCTTCTCCCGAACCCACGCTTTAAATGCAAAATAGAAAGACAGTAGAAAATAACTAGTAGTTAGATAAGGGTATCTCAACGGGTAGACTGCTTTCTTTCGCGCAGACGTCGCAAGCCTTGCTCTAACAGATGCTCCTCTTCGTCCAATTCGTGCTCCAAAGGCGTCTGATCCAAAGAGGTCACCATATCGTGGCGAGCGTCGGCCTCCTTGTCCAGTTCTTCTACCGCAATCCATAGGCGCTCTGGATCTTGGAGGTAGCGGAGACATTTCATGGTATATGAATCCATAGAATAGCCTTGAGCTTCCATGGCCTTAATGGACTTTGCAACCTCAGAAATATTTTGCGCGTTTGCATAGGTGTTGATGACCATGTTCCAGGTAACCTTGTTGTATTCCACTCCATGTTTCGCCATCATCTCTCGAACCTTCTCCGCGGCGAGTGGCTGTTTATTGAACGTGAAGGCGCTCATCAGGATCGTCCAGGTCCGAACCGATGGCTTGCCATGAACAGGAGCCCCATCTTCTGGCTCCCGGTCTTCGTTAGAAGAGTGCAGCATATCCTCCACTAATCGCACGGCTGGTCGCAGCCCTCGAGGGTCATCCCGAAAAGCTACCAGAAACTCGTTGTAAGTATGGTCAGTGCAAGCCAGTGGAGCTATGATCGGGTGGTTCTCTGAGACAAGGGCTTTGAACTTGGTGTAAATGCGATGAGCATGAGATATGCGTTTCTGGCACCGTAGATAAGTCGCGATCATCAAATACAGAGCAATGAGAGATGGTTGGAGATTATCGCCTCCCGGGGGAGGAGTGTATTCTGGCGGAATGATAGAGAGCTCCTTTAATGGCGTGATGTCATATAACTGATTGTACATATCCAGCAGTGAGTAAAACACTCCATTGGGATCGTCATTTGGATCATGATGCTTGGCATTGAAAGTAAAATGAGCGTGAAATATCTTGCTCGCAATCCAATCGTTCTTCTCAAGCCCACGTGCTCTAATATCTTGAATCAGTGATTGAACACGTTCTCGATCACCGCGAGTCACTGCATCGTTAAGCAAGGTTAAATAGGTAAACGAATCCGGCTCGAGCGACTGCCTTCTCATGAAACGGAACATGTCGAATCCCACCTGCGGATCACCGGTCTTGAAAGCGTTAGATAAAACTATATTCATCATATCCCGATCTGGTCGTACCCCCATTTTGAGGAGTTTGGGTAGAATATAGAAATTGCGCCCATTGGGAGTATCCTGGACAGAGTCGAGTAATAGGAGTTTGCAACAGTGGCGCATAACTCCTTGAGAATCCATCAAAAAATTATCCTGCTCCCGTCTCCGCACAAGTTCAAGTGCCTCTAGTGACTTATGGATATCTCCAATTTCCGTAAACTGACGCATAAAGCAAAGCCACGTCTGGGATGTTATATGATTCCTCCTTCCATCCACGATGGTCCAGGCATGGTAAAGCTCTTCGGGACCAGCGTTCTTTAAGTAGAGCCGAATGCCCTTTTGCCCAAGGTGCGCAACAGGCCAATTGCTCGGGTCTAGACAAGTAAGCAAAAGGGACACATATGTGTGGCCCCCCTTTTCCCAGTGTTGAAATTCACCGGCATGGCATTTATCTAGAAAGAGGAAGCAATCTGAAACCATGGCGAACAAGGGCTTATCTGCACTTTGGCAGGTAACAAGGAAAAATTCCAAGGCCAGATGCGGGGAATTTTGTAACAGCCATAATGATAGTCGCTTCCAGTGTGGAGCCTTTGCAGATTTGTCCAATGCCTCCCAAGCCTCACGAAAGTTACCCAAGCAGTCTGTTTTAATCTTCTCAAGAAGACTTAAATCGGCATCATTGAGCATCAACGACACGGGAAAATCTTGTATGTCCATGTCGAAAAGCGCAGCTCCCCAAAGTTTATTACAAGTGGTTCTCCATGTGTGAATCTCTTCGCGATCGTAGCTTAAAGATCTCATCTTTATATTTTGATGAAAATCGTAGGTCTCCTGGCTCACCTGTCTAGCCTTGTAGGTATATTTCACCTTCCCGTCGACCAACGCACGGGTAGCGTAGACGAATTTGCGCTCTTGATTGTTGAGATGCCTTTCTCCAGATGACGATGTGGGCGGACCAGGAATGCCATCCAGATACGGTATTGATAAGCCCCCTGTGATTTCATTCTTGTATTCGTGAGCTGAATGAGAAACTTCATCGTGAAGGTCATAAGCTTGAGCCTGAGTCCGGGTGTCTCTTGGTTCGCGAATTGAAGCTGGATTAGAGTCAGGCCGAGGGTTCAGATCATTGCCAACAGTGTCATATGCATAGTGTGTAGTATTCGATGTCGACGCATAATTCGCGACATGTCGTGTGGTTGGAAATTTCGCACTTTGTCTATAGCAGTGTCCTAGACGCAACCTATGTTTCGGAGCACGGGACGGTAGCCCGGCGCTGAAGCGGGAACGCAGGAGATGATGTGGACAAAATGACATTCAGGATTTCGTGATCTCGTGATCTCGCGCATTGAACATAGACGCCAGTAGGATAGCCGAAAAGCGGTTCGCGGACGGGAAAGTTGATGTTCGTACTTGGAGGCTTCTTGGGAAGAAATTAATGCCGATTTATCGCGGCCGCCGGATGCTGTTCCGTCGCCAGTGTGGCTAATGCTCCCGGAGTGTGGCGCAACACTTCCGATAACATTGTCAAGAAATACTTCGTCAGCGGGCGATTGTAAAATTGTCGCATATTTTTGACCCTGAAACGGGGGAGCTCATTCTTTTCCCTGCAACACTTGCTTTACCTTGCATCCTCTATCTGTTGATATATATTGAGTTTCCCACCATGTCATCCAACCATGCTACTCTCGACGCGGCGGCAACAGAACGCAAAGCTCGACTCGCAAAGCTCGCGGCGCTTAAAAGAAAGCAACCAGAGCCAGAGCCTTTAACAGAATCCAACGCTAAAGATGACGAATCGGAAGACGCTGCCCCCGATGTCACAACCAGATTTCTGTCCGGAAGAAACTATGATGCAGAAACCCGTGGCCCGAAGTTAGGATTCGACCAGGCCCCCGCAGACGGACAGATTACGTTGGAAACACAAGCTGCGGAGATAGCGAAGGCCACTGCAGAGCAAGCCAAGAAAGATGACGAGGTGGATCAACCAATAGATCTCTTCAAGCTTCAACCGAAGAAGCCCAATTGGGACCTAAAACGGGATCTAGATGATAAATTAAGTACCCTCAATGTGAGGACGCAAAACGCAATTGCAAGGCTCGTGCGACAGAGGATAGAGGATGCGCAACGTGCGGCGAAGGCTAGAGACGCGGGGGCCAACGGAGGCCAGACAGGAGAGGAGGTAGGCATCGAGGGCGAAATGTTGGTTGAGGGCATACATGTACGCGAGAGGGAGGAGGAAGATGAACGGAGGGAAAGGGAGGAAGACGACCTGGCATGATCTTGATACCCTAGAAGAGGTGTGATTATAGGTATTTTTGCGATCATTTGTTCCTTCTACATCTGGTTTTAAGGCGCTCGCTGTTGGGGTCTGGCAAAACATATCGAAAAGGCGTTGAGGACATTTTGCGGTCTATCATGTGGACACCGATTTCAATTTATATATGATTCATATTACTATAGTACAGTATCGTAGTGGTAGTTTTTTTTCCTTTTTTTCGTTTTTGTCGTTGCTAAACCTCACATGCCGGGGCGGCCAACATTCATGGCCTGGGTTAATGCGAGACGTTTACTGTAGGGGCTGAGACTCCGCTCCCTTCGAGGCTGAGATACAGTGTGACCTTGACTATGCCCACTCCGCCCATCATGCGCTCGACTATGCCCACTCCGCCCATCATGCGCTCGACTATGACGACCATCTGAATGACCTGAGTGCCTGAAGGTGTCTCTCGAAAGCCTGCTAGGGCGGCTGGGGTCATGCATCGTTTCAGGTGTCACAGACCGTCTTTCCCTTGCAATCCGGCCCTGATCAATGCTCTGGCTTCGGGTCCTCCCTCTCCGGCTACCATCTCTTGACAAGTTTCTAGCTCGCCCGCGCTCCTCAGGGCTAGACTCTCGACGCCTTCGTCTAGTGTTCCTGTCACCCGTCCATTCACGTGATCTGGAACGAGTGCGGTCTTTTTCTCCGTCTGAATAAGAATGAGCAGAATGGCTAGAAGATGAGTCGCTATACCGTCTCTTTCTCAGCTTCTCATGGTGAGAAGAGGTTGACTTCGTCCGGTGAGGTTCGTTTCTCGCACCGTATCCTCTACGGCGAGGTGGTGACTGCGAATGGGATCGACTCGTAGATATCGTAGATACAGAGCTCACAGAATGCGAAGACGCTGACCGAGCCCGCTTTGATGTCTGGCCTTGACTATCCAGGGGGTCTGATTCATTTATGTCTCTTTTACGGCCCCGCTCTTCTTCTCGCTTTGCCAGAAGATCATCGGCTACGCCTTCCCTAGGAATAGGTCAGTGTACTGCGTAAAAATTGCAGATCCAAGCTATTCTGAAATCTTACGAGCGCAATAGATCGTTCGGAGTTTCCGCTGAAAGCTGCGGCCGCAATTTCGGGTTCTGTAATTGCTGCGTACGCGAAGGACGATATTGGTACGGCCGTTCCTGGGCGGTAACTGTGCATTCATAGCTATAGTGCCGTGCAAGAGGTCAGTCAAATGCGAACTGACGACTGAAGAAGGTACATATCTCGTTTTAAGCATTTCTGACAGAGGGTACTGGCAGTCGCCTTAGTAGGGCCTCTAAGGCTGGGGGCATTCCGGTATCGATTCATGAATCCTGACCGTATACAGAGGGTAGAAAAGGCCGCGCAAAGTTCTATGACAGCTTACAATCAAGTCGTATATCGATATAACCCGAATTGTATGAATATCAAACCTCTCTCTGTCGCGGCTGTTGATGCAAGGTGTGGGTCGAAGGCACCGTTTAAACGCGCGGCTAACCGCCCACCAGCAGACAAGCGAAACCCGATCAGTTCAGTTTCGTTCCTTCTCAGCCCAAAAGAACAAAAAAAGACCACCATCGTCGACCTTCCCAATTTCCTCCAACTACAGCGCCGTTTCGGCCTAAGCAGAGTCGTCCGTGCAGTACGACTCCTTCCAGTTTGACTGGGAATAGGGTATTGCTTCTTTTTCCACCATTTTTTTTATCTCTTTTGTCTGAGTAGGAGGAACCCATTCCCCTCTTTAAAACAATCAATGGGTAAAACCATGAACAGATCGCTCTGACCATCGTGTAAGATCAGCCACCTTTCTTGGATCTTCTGTTCTCTGGACGCTATACCTGCTGTCGCCTTTTGCACATCTCTTTGCACTACTGAACGGGCGCGGTCCCTCTCAATATCGACCCACTGGACCTAACTTGCAATAGCTTTCCCTATGGCGAATTACGTTTTCAAAAGATATGCCGTCTTTCTTTTTGGGCTTGTGTGAAGTGGGATCTTTGAGTGGCTTATTGTCGTCTTAAATTTTCGGTTTCGTCCTTGAGTGAACCCGCACGTGTGAAGTCTAGCCATTCAATTCTTCTCATCGGGTTTCTTACCATTCTTCCATTCATCTTTTCCTGCTCGATAATTACCAACCGAAGGAAGGCCAGAGAGAAGAAGATTACGAAATAGTGCAAGGTGTTGCTTGCTAGTTATGGCATCCGAAAATTCCCCAGAAGGAGAGCATTGTCTCTCCTTTGCAAAGGTACGTTGATGTTCCACATGAATCGCTGTCGCAAAGTAGATGATGGTGTCGCCCTTCTGACTTGCGCACAAGATCGCTGCTATGGCCTCACAGTCGAGATCGGAAGTTAACGTGGCATTTGATGAGAAGAATGGTTCACAGTCTGCCAGAGAGCCCCCACGCTCAGAATCTCAGGAGTCGAAACACATCCTGCCGAACCAAATGATCTCGGATAAGGATGATGAAGTCAATGCCGTCGATCGAAGTTTCGATAACCTCTCGCGCACATTACAGGATGTTCATATCACAGAGAAGAAGGACCAAGAGAGTCCCGACTCCCCCGCCGAAATTCAACAAAACGGGTCTCTGAAACGGGAGACATCTTTCGAAGATGACCGTACACATTTGTCAAACTCCTCAACCAAACCGACAAGTTTCGACTCAAAGAGTATGGCCTCGGTCACTACCTTCGCAATGGACGAGAAAGACTCATTACGACCTGATGATAGTGCCAGTGTTCAAGCTGTTGACGAAGAGGAATCCCTTTCCGGAATAGCATCTGGTGCACCGAACTCGCTGACTGGATCTGAAACCGGTACTCGCGGGTTCAGGGATATACAGAGAGCCCGCGCAGTACTGCAAACCACCGGCCCTCTATTCACGGACGGCACCCAGCGGCCAAATGGCGCCATAATCTCGGATTCTGTTTCCAGCAATTTTGTTATCGCCAACCAGGAAGTTTTTCGGAGTGGGCAGTCCATATCCATGCATCCATTTCCAATGGAACCAGATGAGAAACTTCTCGAGGCAATGAAGTCCCCGAAAGATCGTCTCTTGATTCTGCAGCTAGAGGAGAAAGTCAGACATTTTATTCAACATTCTAAGTGAGTTGACGTACCATGGCTCGCTCATATCTCGTTTTTAGCTAACATGTCATTGCAGGGAGCAATCCCTAGAACTGCCACCTTCCAATGCGTTTGGGCGCCTGCTTGCCCATAAATTAGGCGATTACTACCATTTAACTCATTTCGTGGACAACAATGTAACATCGGTTCGACTTCATCGAACTCCTTTCACTCGGCTGTAGGGACCCCACCCTTCTGCATTTACGAATAATGTCCTAACATTCATCTCCTTAGACCTACGCCTCTCTCTGCTATACATGCCGCAACAAACAACACCCCACCCCCTGCTATGCCTGCCATGAAAATCATGCGTCGTACCGACAGTGAGCGGCCTTCTACCGAAGGAAGTGCAGCGGCGAGCTCTGCATTTGCTTCAAAGACTGGATCAGAAGCTGGTGATAGTGCAAATGACGGAGAGCGTGGTAGCTCTTCAGCAGGAGCTACCCCGGCCAAGGACCGGTTAACGCTTACCAGGGAAGAACGGGAGGCCAAGTATCAAGAAGCTCGGGAACGGATATTTCGCGATTTCCCAGAAGCAAAGCCTTCAGATAGCGCAAATGGCGAACAAGGAACCAACATGTCGCGCTCGAGTTCGACCAATGGGCGTAAAAAGGCACAGCGGCAAAAGACACCACATGATGACAGCTTTGAAGTCAGGTCTCAGTTCAATGTCTACTACCCTGGGGCTCACTATCCTCATGGACCAGGTCCCTACAATATGGCCGCCAATGACTCTTCTTCGTTCGCCGGCCAGCCATGTATGGTGGGACCTGGTGTAACCCCGCCGGGCATGGGTTATGCTCATAATGGCCAAAATGGGGCCATTTACCCTAGCCATATGAATATGGGCTCCATGCCTCATTATTCAATGCCCGTGTCTCCTCAGATGACCCCAAGTGGACCG